AAACTATAACAACACTAGAAGAAAACCTAGGGAAAACTCTTCTGGACATTAGTATAGGCCAGGAATTCATAACTAAGACCTCAAAAGCACAAGCAACAAAAACAAGATTAGACAAATGGAACTTAATTAAAATTAAAAGCTTGTCTACAACAAAAGAAATAATCAACAGAGTGAACAGACAACCTACAGAATGGGAGAAAATATCTGTAAATTATGCATCTGACAGAGGACTAATACCCAGAATCTACAAGAAACTCAAACAATGAAAACAACAACAACAACGAAAACATTAAAAAGTGGGCAAAAGACATGAATAGATATTTTTCAAAGGAAGACATACAAATGGCTCACAAGCATATGAAAATGTGCTCAACATCACTAATCATCAGAGACTTAAATTAAAACCACAAGGAGATATCATCTTACACAGTCAGAATGGCTACTATTAAAAAGTGAAAAAATTGGCTGAATGTGATGGCTCACACCTGTAATCCCAACACTTTGGGGGCCAAGGCAGGAGGATTGCTTGAAGCCAGAAGTTTGAGATCAACCTAGGCAACATAGTAAGACTCTGTCTCTACATAAAATAATTCTTAAAAAATTATTTGGGCAGCTGGGTGCGATGGTTCACACTGGTAATCCCAGCACTCTGGTAGGCCAAGGTGGGCAGATCATGAGGTCAGGAGATCGAGACCATCCTGACTAACACAGTAAAACCCCGTCTCCATTAAAAATACAAAAAATTAACCAGGCATGGCAGCACGGTGGCACGCACCTGTAGTCTCAGCTATGTGGGAGGCTGAGGCAGGAGAATCGCTTGAACCCAGGAGGTGGAGGTTACAGTGAGTTGAGATTGTGCCACTGCACTCCAGCCTGGGAGACAGAGCAAGACTCCATCTCAAAAAACAAATTATTTGGGCATGGTGGCACATGACCAAATAGTGCCAGTCAGCCACTCAGGAGGCTGAGTCAGGAGGATCACTTGAGCCCAGAAATTCAAGGGTGCAGTGAGCTATGATAGAACCATTACTCTTCAGCCTGGATAACAGAGCAAGACCCCATCTCTCTTTAAAAATGTCAAAAAATAACAGATGTTGGTAGGAATGCAGAGATAAGTGGGAATAGGGAATAGTATATATTCCCACCAATATATACTATTGGTGGTAATGTAAATTAGTACAACTTCCATAAAAAACAGTATGGAGATTTCTCAAAGAACTAAAAATTGAACTACCATCGGATCCATCAATCCCACTACTGGGTATCTACCCAAAGGAAGAGAAATCATTATATCAGAAAGATACCTGTACTCATATGTTTATCTCACTACTATTCACAATAGCAAAGATATGGAAGCAACCTAAGTGTCCATCAACAGATGATTGGATAAAGAATATGCGGTATATACACAATGAAATACTGTTCAATTTTTTAAAAAAGAATGAAACCATGTCTTTTGCAGCAGCATGGATGGAACTGGAGCCATTATATTAAATGGAACAACTCAGAAACATAAAATCAAGTACCTCATATTCTCACTTACAAGTAGGAGCTAAATAATGTTTATACATGGACAAAAAGTATGGAATAATAGACATGGGAGACCTAGAAGAGTTGGGGATAAAAAGGGAAGAGTGATGAGAAATTACTTAATGGGTACAATGTACTTTATTTGGGAGATAGATACACTGAAAGCCCAGACTTCAATGCTACCCAATATATCAATGTAACGAAATTGCACTTGTACCCCTTAAATGTATACAAATAAAATAACTAAATGAATAAAATTTCAAAAAATAAAATAAAATTTCAAAAAATATTGAGTACTTGTTCTTGGCCTTTGACTCTCAGCCAAAATGTGGATACCAAAAATAATTATTTCTAACATTCTGTCACAGGTGTTTTAAAATAATGTCAGCCAGGTGTGGTGGCTCATGCCTGTAATCCTGACATTTGGAGAGGACAAGGTGGGAGGATCACTTCAGCCTAGGAGTTTGAGGCCAGCCTGGGCAACATAGTGAGACCTCATCTCTACAGAAAATACAAAAATTAGCCAGGCATGGTGGCAGGCACCTGTAGTCCCAGCTACTCGGAAGACTAACGTGGAAGGATCACTTGAACCCAGGATGTAGCGGCTGCAGTGAGCCATGATTGCACCACTACACTCCAGCCAGGGCAATAGAGCAAGATATTGTCTCAAATTTAAAAGTACTTTTTAAAATAAAGAATTTCAATGAAATTTTAGGAAATATGCTTTTTATCATCATGGATGCCTTTGCCATCACATTCTTCATATACATACTCATTATAACCCATCAAGATCTGCTTATTACAAGACCAGTTCTGTTCATGAGTTATACAAAGCGAATCTATTAAACAAAAGCATTTCTTGAAATTCTGCTAGCCTGGTCTCTGAAAGGAAGCAGTTATGCTTCCTTACCTTTGGAAAGAATACCTTATAAATGAACAAGAGAGATAGAACAAACACAAATAAATCACATGAATGACAGTAATAGACATGCATAGTAACTGACTCCATAAAAGAATTGCTTGGTTGAAAAGGTTTGTGGGGCCAAGTGTGGTGGCTCACGCCTGTAATCCCAGCACTTTGGAAGGCTGAGGCGGGTGGATCACGAGGTCAGGAGTTCGAGACCAGTCTTGCCAATATGGTGAAACCCCATCTTTACTAAAAAAAATACAAAAATTAGCCAGGCATGGTGACGCACACCTGTAGTCCCAGCTACGCGGGAGGCTGAGGCAGGAGAATCACCTGAACCCAGGAGGTGGAGGTTGCAGTGAGCTGAGATCATGCCACTGCACTCCAGCCTGGGTGACAGAATGAGACTTTGTCTCAAAAAAAAAAAGAAAAGAAAAAGAAAAGGTGTATGGTATTTTTGTTCTGTGTCAATGTAGCTAAGCTGGAACTATATTCCCCTGAACTATATTCTCCTCTTTTTCATCACTGAATGAGCATTAGCTCTACCTCCTTCTTCAAATATGTCCCAGCTACAATCCTGATTTGAGACATTACTGGGCTTGACCACATCACTGTGCTTAGGCACTGTGATGACCATTCCCTAGGTTCACAGGTCCCACGCTCAGCTCAGTCCTGCACGGACAGAACAAATGGCTGGCCACAACCAGCTCCGAGGGAAGTCCCTTGGCCCTGACGTCTTCTCAAATGCCTCAGACCCAAGTTATTTCCTATCCAAGAACACAGAGAGAACCAAAGGGAATCCTGTGACTGTCTCTCTGAATTTAGTTCACATAGGGACTGTGGAGCCAAAATATTGCTTCCTTTTAAAAGGTCTGACATAAAAACCATTTCTAGCTTCTTGATAGCCCAAGGCTTTCACAAGTGTCCTTCTTTGTCACATATCCCCAAAGCATGTCCTTCAGGTTTACTGTAAAATATGAATGTCCACTTTCAAGTACAGGTAAGAATTCTGCATGCAACTTGGAGTGAAATAATCGCTTTAGTGTTACAGCTCTTTTAGAATTTGTCTAGCAGGCTTCCCAATTTTTGCAGGAAAGCCCCTATATGTAAAATTTTTAAAAAATGGATTGCTTTATTTGTTGATATTTTGTTAACCAATTAAAGGAAAAAGTATATTTATTATCACAGCAGTAAAATATTATAATAATCAATGATTGTGAACGTGTTTTTAAGCACAAATCAATTATTAAGATTTCTCATTGTAAAATAAAGTAAAAGATTAACAGTTAACATAAATATTAGGAAAAAACATTTTGGCTAGATGACTTTCAGAAGAACGTCATATTCTTTGTTTGTTTGTTTGTTTGTTTTTCAAAACAGAGTCTCACCCTATTGCCCAGGCTGGAGTGCAGTGTCTAGTGTTGCCATCTTTATGTCCATAAGTACCCAATATTTAGCTCCCACTTAAAATTAAGAACATGTGGTATTTGGTTGTCTGTTCCTGTGTTAATTTTCTTGGGATAATGACCTCTAACTGCATCCATGTTGCTGCAAAGGACATGATTTCATTCTTTTTTAAGACTGCCCATCATAACTTTAAACATATTAACTTTGTGATTTGTGTTTAATTTTTAATTATTTAATTTCACAGAAGACATGGGTTAATCAAGACCCATATCTTGCTCCTCCTCTAACCCCAATAATGAGCGAGCTTGGATTCAGTGCCGCAATGGACAATACAGTGACTATGGAAGCAATCTAGCCACTGACAGAGCTGTCAAATTATTCCTCACAATGCAACATTTTTGAAGTTTAAATACCAAAATTTACAATAATAAAATTTTAATAGCAATCTCAACTTATTTTTGCGTTCCAGAGATTTAGCCTATGATAGTGATTTCTGTCTTTGGTCTTGTCTTTAGTTGAATAGTTTTTTTGGTTGTGTTTTGTTTTGTTTTGTTTTGTTTTGTTTTTTAATATTTGGCCTTTTTGCATTGGGCCAACATGTATGCTTGGTAGACCTTTAGTTTTATTCCATCTACTTGTATCATCTATTCTCACAATGCTGACTCTTTCATCCAATATTTCAAATTCTCAAGTTCCAATTCTGCAAATTTACTTTTCTATTAGCTCTTAGATAAATTGCAGGACCCTATTGCATGGCTCCAAATCCAAACAAGCAAAAAAAAAAAAAAAAAAAAAAAATACACCAGAGGAAAGTTTTTCCCAAGAAATAACAATAGCACTATTGTATTTCTTTATGATTTTATCGGGACTTTCAGAAACGTTGCCTCCAATTCCTGATTCCCAGACCTCTGGACCTATAATTTAACCACAAGATAAGAAAAAGGAATTCACTTTGGCTGCACTGTTAAATATGTTTAAATAAGGATTTCTAAAAATCACCCCCAGATCTTTTTCTTCTGTATTTTTCTCTGGCCTTCTACTTACTTGATGTCTTTCAGTTAAGTATTACCCCTCCTCACTTAAATTACATTTATATTACCCCTGTTCATTTGAAAAGATAGCTTCACTTACAAAAGTAATGAAATTATTCTCTTACCTTCATGTTTGGGAAAACATTCAGGGCAGAAGAGAGTGGGAAAATTTCCTCTGTAAGGGCCGGGTAAGTTTTCAACAGCAGGAAGAACCCAGCAGGCTGCCTGCCTCTCTGCCTCTCCCTGCTCTAGATTATCTTGGCACTCATATATAGAGCAAGTGGTCCTGAGATGTAGCTCCTACCCCAACCGGATTCTCCAGCGACAGCAAGAGCCTGCCTTTGTACTTAATCTGTGCCTTGAAGCCAGATGCATCTTATCAATTACACAGCCTTAGCTACGCCAGCTGGGACTGTTTGGAAGTTACAGATATGTTTCTTAGAAACATATCTATAAATCAGGAAACACAGCAAATGTTCTCAGTTCAATGTTTAAGTGATTTTCAACCAAAGGAGACTTTGTGTAAGGCAAGGGATGAGCCTCCTTCTTGTTTCAATCTACCAAGCTACGTGGATGTTTTCATGATTCTCTTAAAGGGTATTATATGCCAGACTTCGAGATTAAATATTTTGTGAGCAAAAATATCTAAATGCAGTTCTGTCACTCAAAATGTAAATGGAATGTTCTGGAGTATAATTTTTCCCCAAAATACAGCCTAACACAACCTAATAGTCATCCATTCATGCTTAACTTTCACAGAATAACCACAAAGAACATCAATTTTTGCAAACATATTCGAGGATATCACTAATTTTCTCAAGAACTTCACTTAATCCTTTGCTAATCAGATCACTGTGTTGGAAAGTTCTTCTCAAGGTCATCATCCACATCCATTTTCTCTCCTTCGCTTTTTATGTTGTCTTAGTCTACCAGGTCTTCATTTGTCCATAGCTTTGCATTGATTCTAGAAGGTCCCCAACATCACCTTCATACATTTGATACAATGCTGTATATTTTGCAAGATTTCAGATTTCCTATTGAAATTGAGGTACAGTTGGTCAAGCACAATGGCTCATGCCTGTAATCCCAGCACTTTAGGAGGCCAAGGTAGGCAAATCATGAGGTCAAGAGTTCGAGACCAGCCTGGACAATATATGGTGAAACCCTGTCTCTACTAAAAACACAAAAAAATTAGCCGGGCTTGGTGGCATGCACCTGTAGTCCCAGCTACTCAGGAGGCTGAGACAGAAGAATTGCTTGAACCCAGAAGGTGGAGGTTGCAGTAAGCTGAGATCGTGCCATTGCACTCCAGCCTGGGTGACAGAGTGAAATTCCATCTCAAAAAAAAGAAAAATGAGCTACAGTTTTATTTGTATTGTTGGACCAAATATTCTAACACTAGCTGCTAGTGCATTATGAGTGAGGTAGAATAAGTGTTAAGTGGGAAAGAAAATTTGAGTTAAGAATAATTTTTATAAGTAAACATTCCGTTAGTGAAGATTTTCTAGTTTTAATGATTTTTTTTTTCTTCCTATATCCAAAGCGCTGGAATAATAGAGACAACCCCTATCCTCCCCTCATAAATTAATGGTGGTTTCCAGAGACAAAGCTTCCGCATCTTTTGTTCAAACCTTTAGTGATTTGTGTGGAAGAAATTTCATCACAGAGACAAAGATCCTGACTCCTGGAAGAAATATTTTTTATTCAGCTCCAACTGCATAAACTCCAGATGCCATAGACTCATCTTAAATTCTCAATATGCAATTTCATGTTCATTGGCTGTCTTAGTTTGGGTTCCCCCAGAAGTAGATTTAGAGACGAGAATTCAATTGCAAGTAATTTGTTTTTGTTTTTGTTTTTGTTTTTGTTTTTGTTTTAAGATACAATCCAAGAAAGTACTGCTAGAGGTGGGAAAGTGAGACGGGGAGAAAAGAAAGTCAATAAAGGGTGTTTTATCAAGCAAGAGACTCCAGTGGGCAATTTGAGTTCAGTTCTGATGAGGAACTCTGAAAGACATAGCAGACCAACTCTGCAATTAAGAGTTAGTCCAGCCGGGTGTGGTGGTTCATACCTGTGATCCCAGCACTTTGGGAGGCTGAGGTGGGTGGATCACTTGAGGTCAGGAGTTCAAGATCAGCCTAGCCATGATGGTGAAACCCCATCTCTACTAAAAATACCAAAGTGGATCACTTGAGGTCAATAGAGTTCAAGACCAGCTCTGGGGCCATGATGGTAGGGAAACCCCATCTCTACTAAAATACAAAGCCAGTCACGAAGTCTGCTTTTCTTCCAGAAAAAAAAAAAAAAAAAAAAAAAAAAAAAAAAAAAAAAAAAAAAAAGCCAGTCGTCGTGGTTCATGCCTATAATCCCAACTACTCGGGAGGCTGAGGCACGAGAATCACCAGAACCCAGCAGGCAGAGGCTGCAGTGAAGTGAGATTGCACCAATGCACTTCAGCCTGGGCGACAGAGTGCGAGCCTGTCTCAAAAAAAAGAAAAAAAAGAGTTAGTCCAATTAAGGGGTAAGGAAACCCATAGTTGATTACGGTAGCTTCTGAACCCATTGGCTCTCTAGCACTACCAGCTTGCCCTGGGGGCAAGCTAAGCACACACCTACAGCCATAAATAAAGTTTTTGAAGCAGGGAACTGCAGCATTTGCAATATTTGCAGGTGTTTACCTTTGTCATTTGGAGGCGAGCAATGAGGGAATATGGGTAGGGTACCAACAGCATCTTCTACAGTAGCTTTTTATTTATGTACACATGCATGTATGAATTTTTTCATTCTGAATTTGATCAATATTTTCTAAAATGTGTAATATGATAGGCTATCAGCTTTGACAGGTAGAAGCCTTAAGCTATATCCTTCCTTATTTTTTTCTTTACATGCTATAAAGGACCATATTAGCCCATTTACAGAATATCCTTAATCTAGAGGATGATGTGGATTTATTTATAGTAATTTATAACTTGAATTGTTCGGCTCAGGTATCCCATAGATTATTCAATTCTGAAAGGGTTACAGAAACTTCCTTTCCCCAAATGCCTTGCACACTCCTACCTTCACATCTGTAATGTCATAAGAGCATTTCTTCTGTCTGCAATTTTAATAGAGGAACCATTAGCACAAAGGCTTTAAATGCACGTGGGAGCAATACTGTGGGAAGTTTCACTGCTGGCATAAGTTGTACGGACTTTATTCACACAATGAGTCACTGAGAACTCACCCACTGGAAGTTTTTAAGAAAGAATCAAAGCAGTGCTTTAGATTGATTGAAATAGTAGCTGTGTGCAGCCTACATAGAATAGGTAAGGAAAGGAAGCAGGAAGCGTGACTTGGAATTTATTTCAGTAGTTTAGACAAGGGGGTCAAGGCCTCATTTAAGAAGGGATAGACACAGCTGTGTCTACAAACAATACAAAAATTAGCTGGGCATGATGGCACATGCCTTTACTCTCAACTACTCAGAAAGCTGAGGTGGAAGGATCACTGTAGCCCAGAAGGTTGAGGCTGCAGTGAGCTGTGATCAGGTCACTGCACTCCAGCCTTGGTGACAGAGCAAGGCCTTGTCTCAAAAACAAAAACAGAAACAACAAAAAAAGAAGGGGCTGGGCACAGTGGCTCACACCTGTAATCTCAGCATTTTGGGTGGCCGAAGAAGGTGAATCACTGGAGGTCAGGAGTTCAAGACCAGCCTGGCCAACATGGTGAAACCCCGTCTCTACTAAAAATACAAAAATTAGCCAAACGTGGTGGCGGGCAACCGCAATTCCAGCTACTTGGGAGGCTGAGGCAGGAGAATCACTTGAACCTGGGAGGCAAAGATTGCAGTGAGCCAAGATGGCGCTACTGCACTCCAGCCTGGGCAACACAGCAACACTCTGTCTCAGAAAAAAAAAAAAGGAGGATAGACAAAAGAGCCAGAAGAATTCACAGGGTTTAGTGATTAAATATGGTTTCAAGTCTGATTGATTCAGAGAATTGAAAGAATTTAAGAAAAATGTAAAGGAGGAAGAAAATTGGAAGTCAAAAAGGAAGAGATGGTTTTGGAGAGGGGACATTTTTACTTTGGGGAAAGCATCCAACATATAACTGAAAGTGTAGGTCTCTTTGGGAAGAGATAGGCTTCACCTATGTCTCTTGGAGGGGTACCTGGGTAGAGCCGCTAGCATGGAAGTACATAACTAAAATCATGGACTTGGGCGAATCTTCTAGAGATTGAACATAACGAACCATAAAACCACAAGAAATACCTCTGTTCAGGGAGTAGGAAGAAAAAAAAATGCCAAAAAGGAGAAGTTACAGAGAAAGAAGAAAAACCAAAACAATGTAACATCAAGCCAAGTCAGGAGAATTTCAAGATGAAGAGCCCAGTCAACAGTTACTCCCAGCAAATGCCCAGTCTCGGATTTGCAAAGCACAGTGCATTGTATATTAAATGTTCTGAAAGTTCTGTAACAAGTAAAACTTTTTTAAGTTTTTCAACCCAGAATTTCTCAAGTTCATGTGAACCCCTGGACTTTTATTTCTAGCAAACCCGAAAACTGGTATATGGGCATGCTTTGGCAAATAAATGGTGTCTAAGCCAAAGCTAAGTCAGTAGAGGGGTAAAGCAGATTTCTTCCAGACTGGGGAAGGGTCAGTAAGGGCACAGCCCTCTCCTCACCTCCTGTGACACCAGCTCTTCCCCATTTGCCCTCACCTCCCTTGGCAGCTCCTCAAACACTTAACATCCCCAAACCCTAATGAAACTATTAGGCCACCGATTATATCAGGAAGCAATTCTGGTCCACCACAGGGAGATATTTGAAAACATTTTAACGAAGCTATTTCATTTACTAGTCATTTCATTTTGCTCTGAATTGTTCCAACAGATTTAGCTGACTCTGGGGGTTTCAGAGGAACAAACTCACTGGGGAAAAGTAAAAGCCTCCTTTTTCCTCCTCTCTTGTATTGAGGCTGATAAGGTCAGAATTGAACCTGCGGGGAGTTGGAGTGAAGAAGCAAGAGCATCCCCTAGTGGCAGACTGCTCCAGGCCCTGGAGTCAGAGAACACCGTCAAGCACTGGAGTTAAACCACTCAGGAGGGAGTGAAACACAGTGAATCTTCCTAGGCTCCCAGGCAAGTGCTTGCTAAGCTAATAAGTACTCCAGGTGGTATTGCTTTTTTCCATTTAAAATGTCACACTGTGAACAGTTTGAGAATGAAAAATGGCTGCCAAGCAATGCCTTATTCAAAGGAAGATTTCAGTAAAATGATGATTATTAAATGCTTTATCATTACATATAATAAGTTGCTGTCTGTCTCTGCTGGAAGCACTGCATTAAAATGCTGTGATTTGTGCATTAATTTAAAGTGAGGCTACTAGATTAATACTCTCTGTTGGTATCCAGTTCTTCATAAGAAAGTTGTTTAAGGTTTAAATATTTAGGAAATACAAGGTTTCACACTTCCCTTCTGGACAGACTTCTGCACAGGTGCCATTCTG